CAGGGGTCCTGTCTCCATACCTTTTCAGTCTATTGGCAGAACAGATTATCCAGGAGGCTGGGCTCTGTGAGGAGAAATGTGGCATCAGGATTGGAGGTAGACTTATCAACAATCTGCATTATGCAGATGATATAACCCTGCTTGCTGAAACTGAGGAGGACCTGAAGCTCTTTCTTCAGAAGTTCTTAGGAGTGCAGCCTTCACTATGAATTGAAACTCAATATCAAGAAAACAAAAAGTCTCACCATTGGACCAATTGGTAGCATTACAATAGATGGTGAAGAAACTGAGATTATAAACAGCTTTACCTTGCTTGACTCCATGATCAATACTCTTGGCACCAGCAGCCAGGAAATTAAGACTTTGCATTGGTAAAGTCAGCTATTGGAGACCTCTTCAATGTACTGAAGAGCAGTGATGTTAGTCTGGAGACTAGGGTGTGCCTAATATAGGCCATGGTCTTTGAAATCATTTGCTATGCATTAGAGAGGTGAACAATGGCTAGGGATGACAGAAGGAGAATTTATGCCTTTGAGCTGTGGTGTTGGAATATTGAATATACCGTGGACTGCAACGAAAATGAACAGGTTTGTCCTGAAGTGGATTAAGTCAGACTGCTCTTTGGAGGCAAGGATTCTGGAGCTTCATCTGACATACTTTGGACATGTTGCAAAGAGAACCCAGATCTTGGAGAGGAACATCATGCTTGGGAGGGTGGATACACAGCGCAGGAGAGGAAGACCCTTGATGAAATGGATTGATTCAGTGACTGGGATAGGGGGGTAGGAGTACCAGAGACAATAGGATTACACAGGATAGAGCAGGGTTTAGGGCTGTTATGTATGGGCTAGCTATGATTTGCATGCAACTTGATGGCACATAACAACAGTCAGAGACCCTGATTTGTGTATGCTATATTTTAGCTGAGTTCTGAGAACAGCTGAGACCAGCTGGGTTGGGGAAAATAGAGGAGAAGAAATAAATAAGAAGTTACTAGAAAACATTTCAGTGAGTGGCAGACTCCCCATGCCCCACCAAGTTCAGTAGTTGTTGTTGTTTGGTACTACTGAGTTGATTATGACACACATAGAGACCCTGTGAACAACAGATTTGAACTGTATTGCAGAAGGTGCAGATGATGCAACATAGGGGTGGCCAAATCTCAGTTTTATTGGCTTCTTAAGGGGGAACTGTCCCCATTAATAATATTCAAAACAGCAAACAGCTCCTAGGTCAGACAGGCCATGCTCCTGGCACCTATATCCACCAATCATTAGGTTCGATACTCACTGTTGACCCACAGACTTTACTCACAGTTGTCGTACTAAAAGTTGGCTTTCTTAGGAAAATAATTTGTAGAGTGAGGGAGGCAAAGGATATCACTAAAAGCAAATTCAAGTTAAATCCATCAGTCCCAAGATAGATTAACAGCAAAACACAATTTCTCAGTTAGTGACAATCCCAGTTCAGTTCAGTAATATAAATCCAAATCATCCAGCAAGGTTTGCCTCAGAGCAGTTGTAACTCAGCTTTTCCCTTAATCATTGCCAAGCAAAACCTTTAACTGTGGCCACCACAGTATGATATCCTTCTCCAACGACTAACTGGTTCCTCATGGGTACAAGCGCAAAGTATGTGAGACAGAAAGCTTCAGAGAGAAACTTAGTTGCACCCTGTCTAAGACAGACCTGTTTGTTCTCTGTTTGGGCCATGGTATATTCAATACTCTTATTCAGCACCACAGTTTGAAGGCATCAATTTTTCTGTCATCCTTGGTCATTGTCCAGCTCTCTGATGCATAGCAAGTAATTGCAAAGACCATGGCCTGAATCTGGTATACCTTAGATCCTAGACTGACGTCATTACTCATTAGAACTTTGGAGAGGTCCCTGACAGTAGACTTGCTCAATGCAATTTGTGTTTTGATTTCCTGACTGTTAGTTCCAAGTGTGTTGATTGTGGAGCCTAGCAAGATGAAATTATTAACTACCTCAATCCCTTCTCCATTTCTTATGGTGCTAGTAGTTGGCCCAGTGATGAGAATCTTTGTCTTCTTGGTGTTGACCTTCAGTCCATATTGAAGCCTACAGTCCTTGACCTTCTGCAGTACCACTTCTCAGTTTTGGGAAGCACGGTTGTATCATCTTCATATCTTGGGTTGTTGATGAGTCTTCTTCTAATCATGATGCCATATTCCTCCTCATAAAGCCCAGCCTCCCAAGTAATTTATTCTGCATACAGATTGAAAAGGTATTTAATCAGGACACATCCATGATGCACTCCTTTCCCAGCTTTGAACCATGGAATTCTCTCTTACTCTGCTCTGACGACTGACCAAATATAGGATTCGTATGAATGAGCACAATCAAGCGTTCTGAGATCCCAGTCTTCTTGTGATCCATATATTCAAATGCCTTTGCTTAGTCAATAAAACAGATAGATATTCCACAGGTACTCTTTGCTTTGAACCAAGGTCCATCTGACATTGATAGTAATGTCTCTGGTACCACAGCCTCTTATAAACCCAGCTTGTATTTCTGGTAGTTCTCTGTTGATGTACTGTTCCAGATATTTTTGTAAAAGAATTGCTTGATGAAGATGAAAAAAAAAAAGCTGTAATTGAGGTGAGTTTTCCATTAATATTTTAGATATTTTTATTTCTATTAGCTGTTGAAGAGCAGCAAAGAATTTCTTTTTACTCATTTTCTGCAAGTTTCTAAGACATTTATTTATTGAAGTACTATGGAGACAGATGCCTGTATTTGATCCAAAACCTCTTTGTTATCAAGTTTCACAGATAAATAGCTGCTGTCTGATGGATTTTCAGAGGCTGAAAATTGCACAGGAGACTTCCATCTTTCTCCTGGATAATTCTTGATGGGTTTGAATGGCCAGACAGGTCCACTTTTTGGTTAACGGTATAATTCCCAACAGACTCAGATGGCTAACCTTAAATCATAGCCTCCTACTGGTCTTTTTAGCAAGCACTGGCCCATGGCCTCCAGAATGTGGCTAGGTCAAATTAGAGGCAGAAAGATGAGAAAAAGAAGCAAAGACACATTGGTATAGCACACGATGTTATTGTTAGCTGACTTAGAGATTCTATCCTAAACTCATGCTGACTTTGTACACAAATAAAGATAGGGTCCTATGAGTCACAGGTGACACAATGGCTATAATAACAACAACAATGCACAATGGGATAAGTTGCTACCTAGTCTTGTACCACCCCTATGTGGATAAGTCAGTAAATGTTCTCTTGAAATCTCTATGGTTTTGATTGGCTTTGGCCGACTTTTTAAATGTAGATCCCATGCCCTTCTTCCAAGTGTTTTTTTTAGGCTTGACATTCTTTTGAAACATGGTGATGGTCAAAGCCTCTTCTGAGAAATGATGGTGATGGCAAATGCAGGACATTGGTTGATAATCAAGCCGGTGTCACCTGCATAGAAGGCAAAACTTTTACCACTAAACTGCCATTGTTTAGTCATGCTCTTAAATATTTTTTTTTAAAACCCATATCCATGCTCTTTGCTAAGTTACTGATAGTTGTTATGTGTCTTTGAGTAAAAACCAACCCATAGCTGACCCTCTAGTGGATTTTTAGAGGCAGTAAATTGCGTGAGAGACAATTTCTCGGTTTTCTTCAATGGTGGGGGCCGGGGGTTGGTGGATTTGAGTCACATACCTTTGTGTTGGCAGGTCAGTTCCTTACCACTAAGCTGTCAGAGCTCTGGTTGCTGATACAGGCCTATGAGAAACAGTTTCCCCCGAAATTTGAGTTTCTTTGGATACTACAATAAGTCCTTATACAGTTTGTGACTCCCGTGCAAATGCAGAATTAATTCATTTCCTTTTAATGGTACACAAAGGCTTTTGTTTATTTGTTTATAGATTGTGTCTATTATAATCTTGGTTACTACTTGTATGACCACGCATGTATTTAAAGAAATCAAATGTTGTGGTTAATGCTGTGGTTTCCATTATATGCTTTTTTGTAGAAAAATATCTTTTCTTTTTGCTTCTCCTCTGCTTCAGCTAAATTTGGCTCGGCATTTAGCTATTAGCTTTAGGCCTTGGTGATGTATAATGTTCATTGCAGCAGGTTTTTGCTGTTGTTTTTTTCCTCCTGAAATTTTACACTGTTGTTTGTGCCATCTTGATGGAAACATGCATGCTTTTATCGTACTTTTGAAATTTGTGTCAACCCTTCCTTAGGCACTTTTTGAAATACTTAATTTTTTTTTTTCCTTCTGCGGGGATGATACTGTCTTGGAATATTTCAATTTAACTAGTACTTGAGCTCTAGTAACCTTACAGGATGTTATGTATGGCACAGGAATATCTACTAGATAGATAATGATAATATTAGAGGTTTTCACACAATAATGAGAAATAAACTACATAGATCATATTTTAGCTGAATCTTGAACAGAGTGATTTATAATATATTTTGTATTTTCAGAGGCATGAAATATTTACTAGCTTTGCCTTTATTGTTAATTCTTTTGCATTTTGCATAATTTCCTTAACAATGTCATGAAGATGAAAATAAATATTGATTTTTCCATATAGGTATATTGAAACAAACCCCATATTTAAAATGACAGGCTTCCAATAAGCACTCCTCAAGAATATACTTTGAGTATAACACATTGTAAGTGTTCAGAAAGATTCAGAAATAAATCAAATGTTGCTTACCACACATAGAATCTCTGTGACTGTGTAGGACATTATACCCTTATGAAAAGAAACCTTAGAAATGACTTTTATGGCTCTGCCTGGGAAAAGAGAAAATCATCTAAGATACCTAAGAGAGTGTTCTGTCACCAAGACCAAAAGTTGGAATTCATTCACTAGTTTAAGATTGTAATTGTGTGTGCACGTTTAACACAACTAGTTAAGATAATGGTTATATTTCAGAATTGTTCATACTGTTTACATTTTTAGTTTAAATATTTTAAATAGTTTTTGATAAACTTTTGCTGTTTTCTCCCTAGTTTACTAGAAAATGGTCAGTTTGAAATTGTGACAGGTGGCTGGGTTATGTCTGATGAAGCTGGTTCACATTATTTTGCCATGATTGATCAACTTATTGAAGGACATCAGTGGCTGGAAAAAAATCTAGGTATGTATTAATATATTTTCTTTGGTGAGGCTGTCTTTGACAATTCTTTTTGTGTATGTTGAGGCTCTATTTTAATTTTTTCCTCATTATTGTAGAATGGTTTATCCTTTATTAATTTATGATTTTTCTTTAATTTAGAAACAGTTATATAGATACACTGTGACTACTTTCAGGGTTATTATATACCTTGTTTCTTGTATTATTTTACCATTTCAATTAGAGATCTAAATATTTCTCAATGAGATTTAAATCATCATATATTAATTAGGACTCATTATTTTAAGGGACAAAACACTAATTTATTATTTTAAGAAAAACATTTCCAAACACAAAAAGAAAAATTGAAAAGTAAAAGTTTTAAAAAAGTCAGTTATACTAGTAAGTACTACAGGGATATAATAGCATCAGATAAGACTGGATCCAGGCTATTCAAATTATGTTGCCTGGACATTGTCTCTTTTGATTCTATTTGTGTTTGTTTCACTTTAGTCTTCAAACTTGGCACTGTCCACATAATGATTAAAAAGGTTGTAAGTATTTTCTCAGGCTAGCAAGTATGTGTTTTTATGAATACTCTGCCTAATTGGTTTGACTTGGGTTAATTACTTAGTTTTGAGACATTCATTGTTGCTGGAGTTATGGGAGCTGCTATCACAGAGGCCTGATCATTTTATTGGAAGTAGACTTGGAGTAGAAAGAATTGTGGAGGGTAGGGTATAACCTGACTTGTGTGCACAGATGTCCCATGGGAAGAAGGATTCTTATTTTAGACTAAGTCATGGAGAGGAATTGCTCTGATACAATGAAGGTTCATTGTAGCTCACCAAAAAATGAGACTAATTGAAATCTTTATTACATCTAATATTTACATTTTGTAATATGGTTTGTAACTATTTATCCAAGTATATCTTAGGATAATTTTGCAGTTCATGGTGGTAGCAGTGGTGTTGCTTTTTACTCGTAGCCACCCTGTGCACAACAGCTCTGAACCCTGCTCTATCCTGAGCCAACCTTATTGTCCTTGACACACCTACCCCTGATACACCCCAGTTGCTGAGTAAATCCATCTCATTGAGGGCCTGTCTTGTGCTATCCCTCCACCCTCCAATGGTACATATACATAAATATTTTTTTATTGTGGCTCTTTCTAAATAATATATTATTAAAAAAAAAACAAAACTCCCACAGCCTGATTATATTTTTTCTCATTATTTGGAAATGGTTTCAAACTTAAAAGGAATAGTACAAAGGACATTCATAAACCTTTCACCTAACTTCACTGCTTTTTAGCATTTGCCTTCTCTTTCTATATTCTTGTTATTGTGGTGGTTTTGTGAACCTTGGAGAGCGAGCTACAGACATCTTGCCTATGCACAAAAAGAGCTGCTAATGAAGCTGATCTGAGTTATTTGTACTGCTGGTCTCTGGATGGCACCTGATACCTGGATTTTCTGATGGAAAAGGTCTTTGATAGTGCCCAAGCTGTTTGTATAAATACGGTAGTTTGTACTTAGCACCTGCTTTCCTTCTGGGAATCTGCAGTGCTAGTATGTACTTGGCAGAACGTTGTTTTATAGCCAGACCCAATACAAACATTGGGCATGGAATCTCTAATGAGTTTCCCTGGTTGACACAATTTCACACTTTGGTAATTAAATTAACCATGAGGAGCTCTGAGTAGTGTAGTGGGTTAAGTGTTGGACTGCTAACCAGAAGGTCAGCAGTTTTAGATCCATCAGCTGTGCTCCGTGGAGATGGCAGTCTCCTTCTGTTAAGATTCACAGCCTTAGAAACTGATGAGATTGCCATGAGTCAGAATCGGCTTGATGGCAGTGAGTTTGCTTTTATGTGCTTTGCATGAAGATGATTCTTAGAAGCTTGTGCCTAATTTCTTCTGGAGGTTTCCCCCAGCTGCCTTTTCCTTTGCTGGTTTTTTATTTTGTCTTCTTACTGTGATATATCACAGCTGTATACAACTATGTTCTGAATCCTATGAGTTTTTCTGACAAATCCTCCGACTGAGGGATGGTCTAAAGACCACTTACTTACACAGTGCTTCTTTTCTTACATACTTCATTATGTAATGAACTAAAGACATCCACCTTAATACGACCTCAGTTTTTATGTCTTTCTTTATGCTTAGCTTTTCTTGAATTGTAATTTATCTACAGTACAGTATACAGATACTGAGTATAAAACTCATCATTGAGTTCTGGTGTTTAGATTCACATGTTCAGCTGTGCAAAAAGTTTCCTCATCCTCTTAAGTCTTCAGTAGCCAAATGATGCTCTGATTTTGGGTTCTTTTATTGTACATTTGTTTCACCTTTTCAAGACCTTCACATATATGCAATTGCCTAATATATATTCTTTTGGATCTGGATTTTTTTTTCAGTGTAAAGTTTTTCTTACAAGTTTATTGGGATATTTTACAATCTATAAAATTTCCTGATGTAATATGCATAGTTTAGTAGTTTTATTATATTCACAGAGTTATTCAACTGTCACCAAAATCTCATTGTAAAGATCCCTGAAAGGAATCCTGTACCCAGTAACGGTCATTTCTCTTTTGTGCAACTAATACTTACTTTGCTTTCTTATATGAATTTTCCTATTCCATATTTTATAGAATACAAAGAATATAATATTTGTTCTTTTGAGCTTGATACAGTGACTGGGATAATGAAGGTCGGTGTGTCAGAAAGGTAGGGTTGTGTAAGGTTGATAAGGATAGAGCAGGTTTCAGGGCTATTGTACATAGTGTCACTATGAGTTGCAAGTGACTTGATGGCACCTAACAACAACAACAACATTTTTGAGGTACATCTGTGTAGACTGTTCTGTTAATTTTGAGGAGGCATGCATCTGTGTTGCATGCATCTCTTTCTACTGCTGACTAATATTCCGTTATGTGCGTATATCACATTTGTATATCTGTCAGTTGATTGGATGTATATTGATTCTATTTTATTGTTGTTCTTGTCGTTGAGTGTCATCAAGTTGTAGGCGAGTCGTAGTAACCCTGTGAACAAACGTCCTCAACACTTGCATGACTTTCTTCCGTTCTCCAGGTTCATGGGGTTTCCAGAGGCAAACTATTTATAGAAGTGGATGCCACTCCTGCTTCCAAGCTTGTTTTCCCTGGGGAGCTCCACCAGACACTGTCTGCCCTGAGTATCCATTTTCGCATTTGACACGTCAGTGTCACAGTGTTCAGCTTCACAATGGTCATAAGTTACCTCTGTATGGCAAGTGGACACACCAGGGCTATATGACCCAGAAGAATGTTTCACCCAAAACAATTAAAGACAGGCCTTAGGGCCACAGATTAGTGTCATCATAGTGATTGTTATTTTAAACATTTTATGTTGGTATAGGTTTCAGTTCTCTTGAGCAGATGTGTAGGAGGGGGATTCTTGCATCCTAAGCTAACTCTGGAATTAGCATTTTGAAGAAATGTTAGAGCTTCTTTACCAGTTTATATTCTTACCAGCAATATATAAGAATTTTTACTTCCTCACATCCTCACCAACACTTGATATTGTCTTTTAGCCACCCTAATGTATGTAAAATGGTATCCCGTTGTGGTTTTGATTTACCTTTAAGGTTAACAATGTTAAGCATATTTCAATGTGTTTACTGATCATTCATATATCTTTGGAGAAATGTCTATTCATATCTTTTTCATTTTAAAAATAGAATTTATCTTTTTATTGTTGATGTGTATATGTTCTTTGTGATGTTGCTGTTGTTATGTGCCATCAAGTCACATGTACATCCTATGTACAGTAAGTAACTCTGAACTCTGCCCTGTCCTGAGCCAGTCTCATTATCTCTGACATACCTACTCACATTACCTCAGTCACTGAGTCAGTCCATCTCATCAACAAGTTCTTTACAGGTTCATTATTAATAATAATGTTGTAAATACTTTCTTCCATTCTATGGATTGTCTTTCATATGTGGGTATCCTTTCCTATACAGCAACATAGTTTTAGTGAAATTCAGTTTACTTATATTTTGTTTTGCGTGCTTTTGATGTCATAGCTAAGAATCCACTGCCTAATCCAAGATTACGAAAGTTTATTCTGGTGGTTGTTCCTTTGTGTTCATGGCTTGTAGGCTTATTTGAATTAGAGAGTGTGTGTGTGTGTGTGTGTGTGTTTACATACACAATTCTGTTGCATTGTTCACATCTATAACAGTAGCAAATACTAATTTTTGGGTTTTTCTTTTCTCTGATTTTCATGGAAAATCTTTAGCTTTTCCATACTAAGTATCATATAATCCTTTTTTTTTCTAATTATTTTCTATACTCTTTAGAAAATTCCTTATTAATATTTTTTAATTACCAGTAGGTATTGAATATTGCTGTTTTCTATGTATTTGATAGTAATTTACTCAATTAAAAGTTGTTGTTATGTGCCATTGAGTCACCTATGACTCATAGCGGTGCACAAAATCATATGTGTTTGCCTTGTTAGTGAAACACAGACATTCTTCTGGTACTCTTTGCTTTTGGCCAAGGTCCAGCTAAACTTTGTGATAGCATCTCTTGATCTGCGCTTTTCTGGTAGTTCTCTGTTGATGTACTGTTCCAGTCATTTTTGGATAATCTTCAGCAGGATTTTGCTTGCTTGTGATATTAATGATGCGTTTTTGTTGTTGTTATGTGCCGTCGAGTCGCTTGCAACTCATAGCGACCGTATGTACGACAGCTCTAAACTCTGCTCTGCCCTGTGCCAATCTCATTGTCTCTGACACACTCATCCTGATTGCTCCAGTCACCGAATCAGTCCATCTCCCAGAGGGCCTTCCCCTCCTGCGCCTGCCCTCCACCCTCCCAAGCAGGATGTCCTTCTCCAAGGACTGGTCTCTCCTTACAACATGACCAAAGTATGTAAGATGAAGCCTCAGAATCCTTGCCTCCAAGGGGCAGCCTGGTTTAACCCTCTCCAGGATGAATCTGTTTGTTTTCTTAGCAGTCCAAGGTACCCTCAA